CACGGTCGACTATGTGGGAGTCCAGCGACATAGCCATTACGCTAACTGCGGGTTCCCTACAATTTCTTTTTTTTAATCCAATTTGCAGAAGTAACCCTTCTTGACTTACAGAAGTTTTGCCAATTTTTTATTTTTTTAATTTATTAAACTCTCAAGTCATTCTGGTTAGAGTAGGGCTTTCAGCACTGCAATAACCGAACTGGATATTTTAGTCCTTAACTCAGTCCCCAAAATATTGGGCCGTCAGAAAAGTCATGACGTACTTTTCTATGCAAAAACATGTCATGGCTTTTCTGATGGCCCAATAGCACTTGGCAGAGCTCCCCGCACCCTGCCGCTCACAGCATGTGAGCTTATACTTGTTACCCAACCTCTCTGCCACCAATCTTGGGGTCTCCCTCATAGGATTAATGAGTGGGGGACCCCACACAATGCCTGGCACGTGGCAGCCCTTCGGCAGATATTGGGCCCATTTCACTTCCCTTTTTACCTGAGCTGGGCTCCCTGATGCCAGTGAGTGACCCTCGCAACCTCTGAAAGATCCACCAGGTTTACAAATGCTTTGGGGACCTAGAAGGACATGAGGGAGAAGAAGGTGAACATTTGCCAAGTCACCTCGGCTGCCCAAGGGCTCTCTGGAACCCCCAGATGGGCCCAGTTTGGGGTCTGATAGAGCATACTCAACCTCTCCTGAGTTAAATGGGTAAAATCCTTTAGGAGATATTGTTGGGGTTGGTCCAAAGCTGCCAGTCTTACTCGCAGCGCCATCCGAGAAACACATATCTCACCATCTCAGTGGCGGGCACCACCTCATCATGATGTCCACAGAGGAGCAAGATCTTAGGGGTAATGGGATTGCAGACACTCTGATAGAAAAGCTGCCATCCCAGGGGAGCAGAGGGGACGATGAGAGCCACAAAGCTCTGGGATCATCAGAACCTGCATATTCATCATGGTCACTCTAGAGACAGGCCCTGAATGATCTCAAGCCTCCTCCGGTCCATGATTGTCCCAGACTCAGTCAAACAGGGCCTTGGGAAGGAGCAGGGAAATCTCCTCTGTGCCCTTTCTATGGTGTTTTAGAGGGTGAGGAGGCTGCTCCTCTGGAGCTTCTCCTTGCCCCAGGGTCTTGGTCTCTATCTCAGGAGGCCATCTCCCCACCCTGGGGGAGGCCATTGAAAGTAAGCCTGAACCCCACCTGCCCATTGGCTGGGGAGGGCACACCCGAGGAAGACGGAGTCTCACCTTCTCGTGCAGGTGGTCCAGCAGCTGGCTCAGCTGGTCTAGGTTGTCCTCCACGTGGCTCTTCTGTGGGAGGAGAACTGTCTGAGCAAGGGAGGGTGACAGCACGCAAGCTGCCAGGCCCGCCCCTGCCAGGCCAGACAATGGGCAGAGGATCCAGTTTCCAGAGCTTTCTGGCTTTGCCTACCTCCTCTCCCCCATTCTCTGACTTCCTGACCATCATCAACCAAGGGTAAAAAGCAAACTTCCCAAGTGAGACGCGCCATATCGGGAAAGGGCCATGTCGAGGCTAGAGCAAGGTAAGAAAGGCCGGGCACGATTCTGAACCTTGTGTTCAGAATGGGAGACTCATCTGAAACACTGAAGAAAATGAAGTCTCAGGAGAGTTCACAACTATCCCTGGATTTGAGGTCCCCGATGGGCCTTGGAGATTTACACGGTGCTACTTCCCCAGCCCCCTCCCTGCCACCTTCGCTGCAGGCAGGAGCAAATTCCCAGAGAAGAGGGTGAACAGGCCCCTGTCACCCTGAGGATTAAACACCTCTCCTCCCAGCCCTCCTCTTCGTCACAGCTAATGAGAATAAACAAACACAGGCACCTTGAAAATTGACCTTGGTTTATCTTTTCCATGTGAAAAATAAATAAATAAAATTTACAACCAAGATCCCAAGCCCTTGAAAAGTAGCTGTCCCCTGAGGCGACTTGGCTCAGATAGGAAGACAAGAAAGGCCGAGGAACTGTTCTATTTCCTGGGGAGACACTGACTGTAGAGACAGCTGCCAATCACCCAGCTGAATGGCACGGAGCGCA